TCTCCACCGCCTCCTGCCAGCTCTGCCCCGGGGCTGAGCCCTGCGCCGGCACCGCTCAGGGGCACCGCTCAGGGGCTCACCCGGGCAGAAGAAGCCATCTGGGAACTGGGCTCTCCCTGGCCTCCATTGCGTCCTTCATGTAGGCCAACACAACCACTCCTGACCCCCATGGTACCCGTCAGGATGCAATCCTGGTCTCCCACCTCAATGGTCTCTTCTACCCACCTCCCATCCAGCCGAGCTCAACGTTACAGAAACAGATGTAACACCGTGAACATAAAAAGCAACAGAAAATTCACCAAAAAGGCCACAAGCACCTTCTCTAACCTCAGAACAGAGCCAGGCTCAACATGCAGCATCAGCTGTGTTGGGAAAAGTAGGGTGCAAAGCTCAAAGCATTGCAAAAAGAGAAAACAGAAGGATTTTACCAGCTTGGTTTATTATATTGCCTCTAATTTTGGTTTACTTGTTTTATAACCAGATGCTGATCCCAGCCTTTGCAGAACACCAGCCCCCTTTCCCACCCAAAAAACCCCCTGGTTTTAGCAAATAAAACACTTGATTTAGCCTTTAAACTCATCTTCCTCCTAAATCCGACCTCCACGCCTTTCACAATAGCAACATCATATTAGGGCACAACAAGAATAAAGGTTTGGGACCCTCCTCTCCAACAGGGCATCAACCACCAGCTCCATCCCATAGTATCTGACAAGATGCTCCTCCAAGGCACCTTCCAAAAGGACCAAATCCCCAGAACTGAGCTTAAACAGAGCCCCTCGGCCATGGGGAAGGGTGGGGCTCACAGGTAGAGGCAATCAAAGCCCATTAGCAGCATAGCCAAAAACTCTGTACTGAGGGAGGGGACAGGGAAGGATGGGGATTGCATCCCCCGGCTTGCTCAGCGCCATGCTGGAATTGTCTCGCTGGTGATGGCAGACCTGCTCCGCCAGCCCTGTGTGCAGTGGAGTGCTGCCAAATTAATGGGTTTCAGAAGCCTTTGTCCTTTTGCAGGGGGGGAGAATGTGGCACAATGGCGCTCACGGCCCAGGACTCCACTTTGGTGTTTCCCCCCATCCCTCCCCCCTGTTCCCCACAACCCCCATGGCAATACAGAGGCAGGGCAAAGTCTCAGCCCCGTGTTCACAACGGCTCCAACATGGAGACAGCGTGGGAGAAAGGGGCTCTGTGGCAGGGAGCGATCCATGGCTGCCTGCCTGGCACTGGCTTCCCCCACCTCCGGCTCTACTCAGCCCCCTGACAGCAGCAGGGCTAAATGCCCAGAGTAGGAGCAGCGGTGGTTGCCTACCACAAGCGATGCGGAAAGACTCCACTACTCGTGAAAGTTGTAAAGTAGGTATGTAGTTTATTCAGCGCTGAGGCGCATGGGGGATAGCTCCACCAAAGACATGCGCGCCTTGTCGCAAATCCTATCCCTCTATTTGTTCCCCAAAATGTTGCATACACATGAAGTTTCACAATACATTCATTCATATCCATTACCTAGCCCCGCTTTGTATTATAAGTAGCTAAATAGTCCTTCTGTGCCTGCGCAGTGCTCCCTGGTGGTCGTAGGGTGGTCGACAGGATAAAGTAAAACGAGTCTTCATCAGAGTTTAACTTTTCACCTTGTCTCCTTGCGCATGCTCTCTGGTCTCTTGGTCGCAGTCTAAAGGACCAGGACAGTTCCCAGCCTGTTTAGGGACCCGAGCAGTCTCCTTTACCTCTGCAGCCTTGCAGGTATTGTATTCTCTCCTCTCGTTTGGGTTAGCAGTTCCTTCCCCTATCATCACAGCTTTGATCCTCCCATCTTGTCTTTGCAAGCACGGCAAACACTAATCATATATTGTCTGAACAGCTAGTCTTAATGAGTTATTCTTCGATCCCTTTTTAACTTTAAACCCCCCCCATCTCATAGGTGAATCTGTTGGTGCTTGATGACAGACAAGTAGAAAGTCTTCCCGCACTGCGGACACTTCTAAGGCCGCTCGCCGTTGTGGATGCGCTGGTGAGCGTTCAGGGTGGAGCTGCGCTTGAAGCTCTTCCCGCAGTCGCTACACTTGTAGGGCCGCTCATCAGTGTGGACGCACTGGTGGAAGACAAGTTCCGAGCTCCGGCAGAATCTCTTACCGCACTCAGCGCAGGCATACGGCCGCTCACCTGTGTGCATCCGCTGGTGCTTCACCAGGTCCAGTCTCTTGATGAAGCTCTTCCCGCACTTGTGGCACTTGTGGGGACGCTCAGCCTCGTGAGTCCACAGGTGCGTGTAGAGGGTGGAGCTTTGGCTGAAGCTCTTCCCGCACCAGGGGCACTGGTAGGGCCGCTCGCCAGTGTGGATGCGCTGGTGGGTGATGAGGTCTGTACTCTGGCAGAAGCTGATCCCACACTGGGAGCAGGCGTAGGGCCGCTCGTCGCTGTGGGTGTTCTGGTGGTGAATCAGTGCCGAGCTGCTTCTGGAGCTCTTGGTGCAGTGGCCACACTTGTATGGCTTCTCCCCGGTGTGGGTGCGCTGGTGGGTGACAATGACACATTTGAAGGTAAAGCTCTTCCCGCACTCACCGCAACAGTGTGGCTTCTTCCCGGTGTGCATACGCAGGTGGGTGACGAGGGCCGAGGTGTGGTCGAAGCTCTTCCCGCACTGGGAGCACTTGCAGGGCTTCTCCCCGGT